CCCAACATGACACATATTGTGGAGCAAAAAGGGAGAAAATATCGAGTGGGTTGGCAAAATGAAAGCGAAATATCGACGAAGAACCAGCAAAATTTTTGTAGCAAATTTCGAAGCTTCACTGGCAAAATCAGGCTTTGTCTAGTGGTGATTGGATCAGAAATGGGCTGAGAGACAGTGTTGGTCACCTGCTCGACCAGTATATGTTGACGAGGGGTGAGAATCAAGTTGGATATTGGCAGCCAGCTTCTTTTCTGTGGTTCCCTTGCCATGCCAACATTGCATATCATCATACATGCCAATCATTCCAATATGGCGGGGACCGTCTCGGTATTGAGAGTGGTGATAGGGCACCCAAAAGTGCATTTGTCGCATTCCGCACAGCTGCATTTGTATACAATCATTTTCAAACCCAGGTATGTCATTGTCCCGATCTCAGGTTAGCAGGTATGTGTGATATAATTTATCATTAGGGTCATTTTACGTCTGACATGTTGGTGACCGGGGTGACATGCCTGCTGCACCTGTTCTGCGCAGATTGCATGCATCCGCAAAGCGACAACTTACAATCGCCTCACCGGCGAGAAGATCAGCGAAGTTGTCGTGGGTGAAGTGGATATTTTCAACTGCTGGGTGGGCGTCAGGGGAGCGCCACCAGATAATGTAAGTTCATTGACCTTATGAGAACTCAATCTGCATACAGCATGCTGTCTCGTCCTTTTGTGGACTCTTCAGCTCAGCACTGAGAAAATGAGGCTGAACCTGACAGGAATGAACAAATAGATGACGTTGTGAGTAGAGAACTAGGACTCTTCCAGGGCCATAGCACCCAGGTCTGGAGTACCTCCTGCCCATATAGTCATTGTGGACCTTTTGATGCCTTTACCTATGTACAATCATTCTCCCTGCTATGCACGAGGAGTCTTGCATCTAGACTATACAAGTTGCTGACAACAAGGCTCTTCAGTGTGACTTCACACAAGGCTCTTCAGGGTGACTTCACACAAGGCTCTTTCAACAGTCAGGAGATATCATTTAGGCAACTTCTGTCAAATAATCACTTGATGGAAAGACAAAGAGATCAAAGAGAAACGACAAGAAAACCAGAATAAGAAGACCAAGACCAGAAATGGAACAAGATGTCCAGAAAAGGATATAGAAATAATCTAGTACCAATTTATCGTACAACGCAGTACGATGCGAGGGAACCCTGTGCAAAAAGCTTCCGCAGAACAGATTTGGATACGTGATGTCAAAAGAAACGAAAGGGTCAAGAGTACAAATCTGACATGGCTTCTAGAAGACACACTACACCACTACGTAATTAGTACACGACTGCACAGTCAGCGTAACTATAGAAAATATGGCGACTGGTCTGCAAGTAACGACCAAAAATGCAGAACTAAATTGAACGAACAGAAATATTCAAAATATAGTTGTGAGAGCGGTCGGGCTCTTCTCTTAACAGTTGTGAAAGTAAGAAGAAGGATGATGAGGCTGAAGGGGTTACACTTGCCAGAGCGTGTTAGCACCCGATGCTGGGTGACAGCAAACCCTGTCAGGTAGTGGTACATTATGTCAATACTTCTGCATTGGAACTACAATCGCCACGGAAAATACACCTCAGATAAGAGACTCTTGCAACAATTCGAGAGTCTCAATGCATGCGTCGTGTACACAACAGACAAACTAGACAATCGTTGTAATTGTATCAATTATTATGATCCACTCACAACATCCACATACAAATAACTCGAAACAGAGAATGTATCGGTCAGCGACGAAAGTTTCAATAACAATCAGGAGTAACTGTACAGTGTCTGGTTCCCCAGTTTGGAGTCATATTGATCATGTCAAGTATAAGGTGTTTGTTTACGTTTGTGTTTGTGTGTGTGTGTGTGTGTGTGCGGGTGCGTATGGGTGTGTGTGCGTATGTGTGTGTGTGTGTGTGTGTGTGTGTGTGTGTGTGTGTGTGTGTCGCAGGCGCGTGCACCGGGTCAAAAAATGGTGGTTTCCAAAACATTTCGACCGCCATTTTGCAATAATGTACCTGCAAATTCAGCAGTATTACATACACTAAATTTTGATTACACACTGAAAGAAAGCTTTAAAAGGTATGACTGCCAGTCCACCGAGCCATCAAAGCAAATGTGGTACAAAGGCATTTTCCTGACACAGGATAAATGAATAGGCAAGCCCGCAATATACAAGTAGTTCGAAGTAGTGAAGGAAGATTCAGACACTCTTGCTAGCAAGTGAGTCAAAGAAGCAGGTCAATCCATGTCACTGTCTGAGTCTGCAGTGGCACTATAGCCCTGGGAAGACACGCGCAACCGGAAATAATTCATTGAGACAATTCACTAAGATCCATGACATTTTTGTAGTATTCATCGTAGAGCGCTCCATTCTTTTGTAGCTGACCGCTAAAAACCTGTGCCTGACGTCAAACATGTCTCATGCATGCATGTCTGGACTGTCGTGCAATAGAGGAAATACTTATGACAAATAATATGATTGCCACCCAAGTGCGGAAGTGAAAATTTGCAATGGGACGTAAAATACCTGTCGAGTGCCGTAACTCCACTATTCGACCTTGGATCGACTTCAGATTTGTTGGAGCCGACAGCTGAGAACTTTCTAATGCGAAGAGACCTTTCGATTACTCAGGGAAAGCCGAGTTACGAAATATTTGAGTGTTTGCAGAATGCACTTCATAGCAAATGCAAAAGGGTGGTTTCCGGGCTCCAAGAAAACCATGCGGTGCACGCGCCTGGTGTGTGTGTGTAGGGTGTGCATAGGTAACTGTCTTGGCTGTTTTATGCCGATGTACTCCGTGTGGTGTAGACCAGGTGTGCATTGGTGGTCGATTCTCATGGCTTCACCAGTTGTGTGGATTAGACAGTTATCTGGCGCGAGTCTTGATCTGTCTCATTCAGATCTTGTTCGCTATCGTTGCTATTGTTGTAGTTGTAGTTCTATATTACTTCTCCATCACTGCATCAGCTCAACCGCCACCACTGGACTGCCTTTTTACACTCTTTTCATTGACGAATAAACAAGAACACGGAAAACGACTACATCTTGACAAGACGACAGACCAAAGACTAGCTCACGCAGTTTCACGCATGCGCACAACACCACCGACCAATGACGCGTGTCCACAGCGACCAAGACGAAACAAACACGTGACACCAAAACTACCACAATGCGCGTGTCCACAGCGACCAAGACGAAACAAACACGTGACACCAAATCTACCACACTATAAGAGAAAATCTGTGGGTACACATCCAGTGCATTAATTTTGCAGATTGGCGTGCTTCTCTTGCGACGGGCGTATACATGGTACATGGTGGTGGTGGTGGTGGTGGTGGTGGTGGTGGTGGTGGTGGTGGTGGTGGTGGTGGTGGTGGTGGTGGTGGTGGTGGTGGTGGTGGTGTGTGTGTGTGTGTGTGTGTGTGTGTGTGTGTGTATGTATGCGTGTGTGTGTATGTGCATGTGTTTTTGTGTATGTGTATGTATGTGTGTATGTGTGCATAAGTGTGTGAGTCTGTTTCTGTCTGTGTGTACATGTATGCGCGCATGCATGTCTGTGTGTGCTTGCTATCTCTGCCGTTATCGTTTCTGGCAACAGGAAAGAAGATGTGGTGACCGGCTGTGCGATCCATTCTGGGGTGATGAACCCTGGAGGGAATGCTCCCAAACCTGCGGTGGAGGACAGCAAACACGACCTGTCCAGTGCTGGTTATATAATGTTATCATCGACCAGGACATTGACGCAAAGCCATACAATGCCAGTATTGACGACGAAGATTGTCTGCGGATCAGATCGGCCGGCCCAAAGCCGCCCGGTTCGCGCCCATGCCAACCCGCCGTGGACTGTGTTTCGGAGTGGACCACATCAGAGTGGACCGCTTGCACCAAGACATGCGGCTCCGGGAATCGACAGCGCAACGTGAAATGTCATCAGTTGATGTCCAGCGGTTTGCATCGCGACGTGGACGATAGTCAGTGTGTCTGAGCAGCCAGACCGTCCTCCCAGGAGGTGTGCAGCGCGGAGGACTGCCCTGGACGATGGGAGAGCAACGCGTTCGGTTCCTGCAGCCGCAGCTGCGGCAACGGAACGCGGACCCGAGTGGTTCTCTGCAAACAGATCAAGGCTGGCGGGCAGGACGAGACAGTGACGGAGAGTGAATGTCGCCCTCTGCCCCAGCCTAAAGGCCGACGTCGGTGCAATGCCCACAATTGTCCAGCCGTGTGGGCCACGTTTACCTGGGGAACTTGCAGTGCCACGTGTGCCGGTGGAAGTCAGATACGTACTGTTACCTGCGAGCGTATTTTTGCAAATTCTTCAAAACTTGTGGAAGAGCCGTCACAGTGCCCGGCGCAATTGCGGCCACCTGCCACGCAGGCATGCAACGAGCAGGACTGTACCGCAGAGTGGGTAGTGCAGAGTGACTGGGAGGCATGCAGTCACACTTGCGGCGGAGTCGGCAGGCAGTCGCGTCGCGTGGAGTGTCGACGGCGCACCACGGGCGGCTTTGGCCTGGTGGACGACTCGCTGTGCCTGGCTCAGCGCATGCCCGTCCGGCGTCGTGAGTGCCAGCGCCTGGACTGCCCCGCGTACTGGCAAAGCGGTGAGTTTGGCGGCTGCAGTGTAACCTGTGCCGGTGGTACACAACGCCGGACGGTGCAGCGCCGGGCAATGCGGTCCACTGGTAATGACGAAGTGGTGGATGAGTTGCGCTGTCCGGGCGCGAGGCCCACCGAGATCCGGGAATGCGGCGTGTTCCACTGCCAACCCTACTGGCAGGAACTTCCCTGGCAGGGCTGCAGCCGAGAGTGTGGGAGAGGCGAGGAGCAGAGAGAGGTGGTGTGTCTCCAGCATCTGCTTGTGGACGATGGTGAGACACGTGTAAACACGAGTGAGTGTGTTGATAAAGCCGACGGTGCAAGACCGGTCACTCAGAGGTACTGCGCCGAGACCGACTGTGACCCTATCTGGGAGACATCGCAATACGAGGATTGCGCTATTAGCTGTGGAGGCAGTACTCATCATGGTGATGTGATCTGTATACAACTGCAGTCAACCGGTCGCTGGGAGACAGTTCTCGACGGCAAATGCCTGTTATCCGAGCGGCCGCTGGAGCAGAAGGGCTGTGCTCTGGTGGACTGCCCGGCTAAGTGGCGAGTGACGGAGTTCAGCGACTGCCCGGTCACTTGCGGAGGCGACCAGCGCACGCGGCAAGTCTTCTGCGAAGTGCTGCGAGCCAGCAGGAAAATCGAGCAAGTGGCCTACGCAGAATGTCCACAGACAAGCGTCCCCATGCCGACACTGAACTGTGGTGCAGTGCCTTGTCCAGCCGTGTGGGTGACAGACGGATGGTCACGACCCCTACCACAACCTCCGAGACTACTGCCAGAGACAACTGAATTGCCGCCACCGGATGGAAGTTCGTCAACGTGCTCTGTAACCTGCGGAGGTGGCATCCAGGTACGCAACATACGCTGTGAGCAGGTCCAAGACACCGGGGAGCTGGTGATAGTTGATAATTCCGTGTGCATGTCAGCATTGCGACCCATCAACCAACAGCCGTGTAATGCGATAGACTGTCCAACACACCGGGATGCTGGTCAATACCGTCCTTGCTCCCGTTCGTGTGGCAACGGAACTCAGAGCAGAGAAGTGTTCTGCGAACGGGTGAACGCCGAGGGTCGTCTTGTCAAGGTGGCCAGCACCCTGTGCAATCCTCAAAGCCAGCCTGCTGTTAACCGGCGATGCCAAGTGGAGGACTGTCCCGAAACCTGGATAACGTCAACCTGGTCTGATTGCTCACAGACCTGCGGGAGAGGCAGCCGCGATCGCGGTGTTTTCTGCGAGCAGAATCAGGCGTCGGGTTACACTGTCCTCGTAGACGCCGAGAACTGCCCCGCACCGTCCAGGCCTAGCGAACGGGAGAACTGTAACAGCATTGACTGTGCAGCACGCTGGCGGATTGGCCAGTACGACGAGTGCTCGTTGCCCTGCGGTAATGGGTCACAGTCGCGAAGCATCGTCTGCGAACAGCTGCAAGGTGACGGGGAGATCAGACTTGTCGGCGACTCCCTGTGTCCTCAACCAAAGCCTGCGCTAACACAACGCTGCTCGGAGATCAAGTGCTCTGCCGTGTATTGCGTAGGGCAGTACGGAGAGTGCAGTTTGACATGCAGTGGCGGTACTAAATCACGCACCGTGCACTGCGAGCAGATCCAAGAGTCTGGCAACCTGATCGACGTGCCGCATGGTTTATGCCTTACCTTTGCTGGACCTGCTCCGACCAGGATCGACTCCTGTAACGTCATAGACTGCCCTGCCGTCTGGGAATCGGGCCCGTGGTACGCCTGCTCTCAGACCTGTGGTCGCGGCACGAGAACCCGGGAAGTGATTTGCACGCGATTGCTCTCCAACAAGCAGCTTATCACCGAGCCGAATTCCGATTGTCCAGCGCAGTCGCGACCACCTGCAACACAGGCATGCACCGAGCAGGAGTTGGCAGCTGAGGTGGTAGTACAGAGTGACTGTGTGGCATGCAGACTGACCCATGACTATATGTACACTACTGGAGAATGGTCAGAATGCCAGGCCAGCTGTGGGCCAGACGCCACACAGACAAGAGAGGTGAGTACAGCTGCGTGCACCGTATTCTCCGCAGCAACGATATAAGCCTATACACCTTGAGCACTCAAAATATACACCTTGAGCACTCAAAATTCACCCCGAAAAAGGCGAGGGAGTGCGGCTTACACTACAGTTCGGTTTACACTCGGGAAATGAGGTGCCTGCATTTAGGACCATGAAAACTGTTTTTCGAGACCACCTGTCCCTAACGACCACCTGTCTCTAAAGACCACCTGTCTCTAAAGACCACCTGTCTCTAAAGATCACTTGTCTCTAAAGATCACTAGTATCTAATGATCACCTGTCTGTAAAGGTGACCTGTCTCTAACGACCACCTGCCTCTAGAGACCACCCGTCTCTAAAGACCACCTGTCTCTAACGATTACCTGTCTCTAAAGCCCACCTGTCCCTAAAGACCACCTGTCCCTAAAGAGCACCTGTCCCTAAAGACCAATTGTCTCTAAAGACCACCTGTCTCTAGAGACCACCTCTCTCTAAAGATCAACTGTATCTAAAGACCACCTGTCTCGAGGTACCATGTGTCTCCGAGATCACCTGTCTTTAGAAACAAACTGTCACGAGAGTCTACCTGTATTTTGCAGTCAGGTTATACCACAGATGTAGTAAATGCTGTTGTTTTGTCTGATGGCATTATTCTCCCAGGTTTACGTTTGAGAATACCTGTCTTTAGAGGCTGCCCGTATGAATTTAACCCTTTAGGGCCCACAATTATTTCAAGAAATGCACTGCATACGCGAGCCCAGGTACTTATCTGGTCGTAACTTTGGTGTCCTTTGGCCGATTTTGGTGATCTTGGGCTTTCTGGAAAGCTCTTGGCCAGAGGAACACAGCGATAGCCAGCAATACATCACTCGATCCACAGAACCAGCGCCGCAGCGCGATACGGCGCTCCAAAGCCAGCATTGCGAGCGCCCAACTCAAATTCTCTGCCATTTCAACAAATTGCATCGCAGATCGCTCAAATTTTTTTCCTGGAGAGCTGAGAAACATGCCTTTGCGATGACGTAAACTATCTGTAGCTGCGTGGGCCGCGAGTCAGGGAAAACCCCTAAAAACGAGTTCAAAATGCACGCGCTCGAGTTGTCTCTGCTGAGCGAATTTAGTTCGAGTCTCGTATCTCCGCTCTCCGAACTCGGATCGCGTTCGGGTTTTTTTGAGCCGATAGCTGAGACAATTCTAATGTCGATAGCCTTTTCGATTGTCCAATTTGGTCAAGGGATAGCCGAGTTACGCCAGGTTGCGCTTTGAAAAGTATGCACTGTACACTGGTACGGATATATCCGTACTATGGGCCTCAAAGGGTTAACAGACAGGTAACCCAGGTAACCACATACATATACACCACCGTAAAAGAATGATCGTCACAGTGGCAAGTCGGTAGGTTTGCTTGTGGATGCTAAGTATTTGGGTGGCAAACCAATTTTAGAATCCCATAAAGACATGGTGAGTGTGTTTTGTGCATGTGTGACCTGTATATGTGTGTGATATGTGTGGTATGTGTGTGCGTGTGATTGTCTGTGTGTGCGTGCATGCGTGTGTGTGTGTGTACGCGTGCGCGCGTGTGTGTGTGTATGTGTGTGTATGTGTCTGTGTCTGTGTTTGTGTGTGTGTGTGTGTGTGTGTGCGCGTGTCTGTGTGTGTCTGTCTGTGTGTATGGTAAACGATAATGATTGTATCCCTCAGGTAAACTGCCTGCGGATGCAGGTTCTGCTGAGGCCTGATGGTAGCAAAGTTCCCCATCTGCAGGTGACGGTGAAGCTTGGCCAGTGCTTGTTGAGGCTCCCGATGCTACCTCCTCTGATGGTAAGCGAATACAGTCATGTACCGTAATGTCGCGTATAAAAGCAGGTGTATAAGCCGGGGTTCAAGCCATGCTTTTATCCAAGTGATGCTTCTATTCAAAACATGCTTCCACGTCAACATCATCAGCGCACACTGTGTTGTGCACACTGTCACGCGTGTACTGTGCAAGTACAGTCGACCTACCCTTATAACGATATTTGCGTCACACCAAGAAATATTGAACAATGTTATAAGGGTAATATTGTTATAGGGGTAACTGGTTCATTTCATACACATACGTCATAATGCATGAATTCTGTTCATTTTTTACGCTCTTCATAGCATAAAAAACTGACGTACATGCATATTATGTGCACAGCAAGGTGCCCACTGGTGCCCCCATTGCATCTCGTCGTGTCCTAGCGACTCATGAAGTGAAGCTTGCCTTATCTAGATAGTGGGCTCTACATGTTGCCTGCTAGATATTGTTATAAAATGGAAAATGTCGATTGGCCAGCCCATTTTATATCGTTATAGGGGTAATATCGTTATAGCAATATTGTTATAGAAGTAAGGCATTGTAGACACAAGTCAATGGAGTGATTTGGTTTGGCAGAAAAATATCGTTATAAGGGTAATATTGTTATAGAGGTTATCGGAATAAGGGTACCTCGACTGTACTTGCAAGTGTCTTTGCAGAGAGCGGCTTCTATTCAAATCATGCTTCTGTGTCACGGCGCTCTACGAACAATAGGCTTCTATCCGAGTCATGGTTTTATACAGGTCATGGTTTTATACAGGCCATGGTCTTATACGTGACATTACGGTATGCAAAATACAGTTTTGCTTGGTGAAATCCGACCCAAAGTGAATATTTAACCCCCCCCCCCCCTCAACTTGCACTGCCCTTGACGCCCCGAAAGTAGCACGAATGCAGCTTGCGTACACATGTGCAAACGAGAGAGCTTGGAAGCTCAGGGCCCTATGCTGTGCTTTTTAGCCTACCTACATGTAGCTCATCATGCATGTTATTAGAACTGATGTGAAATGTTTCTAGCTACGTAGCGTTTGCGCAGAACATCATTCAGGATTTTGTTGTCACCGCATCGATTATTTACATATTTTAAACGGAGATACTCTAGGAGTCAGGTTGAAATCCTGAATGATATTCTGCGCAAACGCTACGTACCGTATTTTCCGGTGTATAAGCCGCACCGGGGTATAAGCCGCACCCCCCTTTTTGAGGCAAAATATTGACTAAAAGCCGCACCCACAAACCAAGATTTTTCACACTCATTGACAAATGGCCTTTCTACAAATTTATTATAGTTATGGAGCTAAATACCATGTTAGATCAGATTATGAAGTGTTAGTGCACCACAGGTTGCTGCAGAGATGTTGGTGTATTGCTGTGTTGACTACAGATCACTCCATGTCATCTGCACTATCTTCAGTCTCGCTGCCACTGATGCACTAAAACTAGTAAAAGTGCCGGGATAGCAACACAGGTGCGAACTCACCGCGAAGCTGAGTCGAATTACATGTCACATGACGTCAGCATGCATACTGGTGTATGCTAAGCATTCATTCGCGCAAGCATATTCGGTGTATAAGCCGCAGGGGCGATTTTGGTCCGATTTTTGCAAAAAAAGTGCGGCTTATACCTCGGAAAATACGGTACCTAGAAACATTTCACATAATATTATCTTCTTGAAACGCTGTAAGGAAAATGGAGTGTGCCCTACTTCCATCCAGAAGCGGGTGCACAAAGCCCGTGCATATCACTCCTTAGCAATAGAAAGAGTATTCCTCAAAGACGCAGCATGGTTACTCTTCAGTCACGGCTTTCCACTGATGATTGTGACAAGAAAATCGATTTTGGTAAACCTTCATGACTTTGTTGTAGTGTGGCGATGACAGCAGAATTTGTTCTCTTTATAGCTATTATAAAATACGAAGTTTTTAGGAAATTAGAGGCCACATGCCACGTACTGCTCTTTTCTCTCCGAAACTCGACACTTGCAAGCCAGATATGAAAGAAAGAAAAAATCATCAGTGACACCACCGGGACAAAAGAGCCGTACGTGGCATGTGGCCTCTAATTTCCTAAAAACTTTGAAATTCTCCGTGAAGTCCAAATTTGAAATAACATACGAAATTCCTTGAATTCTTTCAAATTAAAGTAGTTGTACCAGGGGTAGGGTGCAACATTTTGGAATGGAATGTTTGAAAGAAGGAAAGAGACACAGGAAGTTTACTTCTTAAATATTTCAAACTTTGTTCATTTGCATGTTAGGCAACACCAAGTTATTTCCATGTTTCACATCACCGCGCGTACCTTTTCGAATCGTTGACAAGAAGAAGAAAAAAGAATGGAGATGAGTCAACTGATGGCTGTTCTGGGGAACATTCTCTAGCCAGTATGGCAGATCAGAGGTTATGAACTTCTCGATAATCTGGCATTCCAGGCAATGGTACGTAGAAGATGGGAGCGATGAAAATCTCTATTTCCCCAAGCCTTACTGTAGGGCCTGCTCACCAAGCGAACGGAGATTCTAGGTGTCAATGACTTCGACGTTTTCCACGATCATGATGGAGCGGAATTCCACTCGACTCATGTCAAAGTGCAGAAGAAGCCATCCATGTAATCTGTTATCGTATAGCTCCAGCCCAGTCTGCCAGCTCTCCTGTGGCAACTTGTTGTCTTGGATATGAGTGACAGTCTAATGGTGATATAATGTGTGCAACATGGCTCAGTACACATAGAATTGAGATGTTTTTTCCACTTTTTTTAGTTTTTTTGCCGCCCGCCCGCATGGATTTTCCAGAATATGTCCGACTCGAAACATAGAATTAACTTGGCATGGCCTTAGATTTGAAAATAATTGAACTTTGCTTACGCTTGTACTGTTTTTACTGTATCTCCTATTCACATTTTGTGCCAATACAGAAACGACGCTGCGGTGAGGCTGAGTGCCCTCAGGCTGCCTGGGAAGCTAGCGATGAATGGACGGAGTGTCAGCCATCGTGCGGGGCGGGCGAGCGGACAAGACAGGTCACCTGCATGGCTCCTACTGGAGATGGCAGTGCAAGCGAGCCAGTCGCCGACAGCCGTTGCAATGCTGCGGGCACCAAGCCCAAAGCAGTCCTTCCATGCTCCGGCATTCCCTGCACACCTGTCTGGGCGCAGATGCCCTAGACCAAGTGTGATCCACTGAGTTGGCCGTCGACACGGCAACGCGACGTCCTGTGCTTGCGTCGCACTTCCTTGACAATGTACGAGCGGCTAGCCGACGAAGAGTGTGCCATTGCCAAGCCCAAACCGCGCACCTCCAGAGGTTGTCCGCGACCCCGTACTTCAGGCAAATAGCGCATTTCACTGCACACTTTTTAAGTTGGCAATGCTCAGATTAGGCTTCTCTGGCCTGACTGTAGTTTTGCCTTTAAACTATTTCTCCGTCTCTCTCCCCCTCTTTCTCTTTAGACATAACACTTTAGCACAAGGAAACAGTCATTATTTTCACCACTCTTCTCGCATGTCTCATCTCTCGTTTCACAAAATTCTCTTTTTATTTTTCGAAAACCTACAAAAATTATTGTCTTATTCCCTATTCGTCACCTGACGTATTCTCACCAAGATGTTATAGTGTTCTCAGTACGTTGTTCTCAGTATGTTTTTCTCAGTTTATATGTTGTTCTCAGTGTGTTGTTCTCAGTATGTTTTCCTCAGCAAGTTGTTCTCAGTATGTAAAATTGTTGTTCTCAGTATGTTGTTCTCAGTATGCTGTTCTCAGTATGTTGTTCTCAGTATGCTGTTCTCAGTATGTTGTTCTCAGTATGTTGCAATCTTTTTGTCTCTCTACATATAGCTATGCACTGTATTATTGTGTGTGTCAAGCCTCTTGCATGGGTAAACATGCCATCATAATCAATTAGGCCTCGACCAAATATGCTAAAAAAGAGCATATTATGCTCGTCGCATATCAGGGAAAACTTCCATAATGTGCCAAAGGCTTAGCAAGATATGCAAAAAGATATGCCAAAATATGCTCGACATAAGCAGAAAGTGTAGATCATTTCAGTGAAATTACAACCTTATGTCACTTCTCTGCGGTTGACGTCACAGTATAAGAATTAGCAGAGAAGTAGTGTTCTCTGTCCACCCGGGAACGGGTACGAGGGAGCACGGTGTGGGATAAAAGGAGGTGACGAGTGCAGGGTCGGCCTCTTTTGTCTTTGTGCGGAGAGTTGAGTGAGAGTGCCCACCCACCCACCCCAGTAATCATCATGTAATTTCATACATCATCGCTTTGATTATTCTAGTGATTTGATTATTCTAGAGTGTGCGGATGCATAATGGTCGGGCGTGGTTTTCTGGTTGTACGTAGCTGGAGTTTTTGTTAGACTAGGCAATGGTTCTGTATAGTCATGACCACGGAATTGTGTGCAAAGACAATAAGTTGGGGCGCTGTGCTGTGGTGGCCCCCACTGGCAGTGTTCACGTGTTCAATAGTGGTGTACACGTATGAGTGAGTGTGCGGATGTGTGCGCAACGAGTGAGTGCAGGGTGGACAGAGAAGGAATATTCATTGGCTTCACGGCTATCATGCTTATGGTGCAGATCAAAACACATGCGAAATAGTATGGCTGGGGTGTGTCCCTAGCAACCGTAGCGATAGTGTTCATCCATGGGGAAATGTAGCAAACGCCTCAACTATTCCTAATTCATCCATAAAAGGCATTTCTGAACGCATTTTGTCCATAATATGAATGTTTTGTGAAAAGAAGAAGGGCAAAATGTTACGAATTATGACTAACTGTCCACCAACGTAACCAGATCTTATACAGTAATAACCTTAGTCGTAACTCGTAACATAACATTTTGTCCTTCTTCTTTTCACAATATTTAATTGGCTCACCATCCGAGTTACATTATGAATGTTTTGCCCTCATTTTCTTCAGAATAGAATTATATGCTGGCTGCATTCCAATATTCCCTTTGTCGCTCAATATGCCATAATATGAACTGTCTCACAAAATATGCGGAAATATGCGCAAGCATATTTAGTCGAGGCCTATAATCAATGAATATATAATGCAACTAAATCCGAAGTTAAAATTGAATGCAACTAAAACCCCAAACAACGAAAAGAACTCAAAGCAACTGTATCTTTGCTTTTTTTATTATGTATTCACCCTGTTAATGTGCCAGGCCCGGTAATCTGTCTGTGTGAATATACTTCGATTCACAGTAAAAAGACCTTGGTTGGAGCAGAGGAGGGAAATTGTTTATTTACATGTCTAAATTTCCTCAGATTACACTGACTTGAACATCTACTCTAGCCGTCTAGGTCTAATAGATCCACTAATCGTTCTTCAGGTATTTCGACAGACTCGGGATAAGGGCCGATTCCCACTACGGTACCACGCGTGAGTGCCGTGCCGTGAGTACCCAGGGTGATTTGCTGACGTGAGGGGCAGTTTTGGCGCGAGTTCATTCCGTGGGTCATGCCGTACCGGGGTGGGGGGGGGGGGTGGAAATGGCATGCCGTGGTATTCCGTGAGGTCGAATACAGTGTGTAGTAGGTATTCTACTACTTCCTGATAGGAAGTTTTTTCTTTCTTTTGTATTTGTGGTACGAAGTGTTTTCTTGGCTTTTGGGTTTTCGTTTTTTCGATTGGTTGATTTTTGAGCTTTCTCCAATCATCTCCCCCGCTATTTTCCCTCCAGACCAAAGTCAGAAATTGGTAAAAATGGTGATCTGGCCTGCCGACGGAATGCACGGAACGACAGTGCGCAGGTGTAAATCACGCTCAGCTTCAAGCTCGTACCGTGGGCATGGGGTACACGTGACCTACCCAAATCGTCGGCACGGCAGTCACGGTACCGTAGTGGGAATCGGCCCTTACTATTATAGCAATAAAAACTGCTTTATGGCAGTTTTCTAAAAAAAGTTATTGTGTTCTAGTCCATGGACTTCGTCTAAAAAGTAAGAAATTAACGAAATGTGATAGCCGAAAATTAAAATTTCACACAAAACCTCACAATAATCACGACACTTGAAGATCTAATAGTACGGCTTTCAACACTTGTTTATTCCAACACTTGTACTTGTACAAGTACATGTACTGCGCCAACATGCTTGCATATGAAAGAGGACCACGAGGGGAAAAGGTCGTCTCGCATCCTGTGTGTGATTATTGTGAGGTTTTGTGTGAAATTTTAATTTTCGGCTATCACATTTCGTTAATTTCTTACTTTTTAGACGAGGTCCATGGACTAGAACACAATAACTTTTTTTAGAAAACTGCCATAAAGCAGTTTTTATTGCTATAATTTCTTTTGTTTTTTTTGCTAAAGGATATAATTGTGTAACCAATGGAATGCCCTAATGATGGCCTACATGTAGCGCCTCTGCATGTTGTTATTATTATTTTATTTATTTTACTAGGGTGTTTCCCACAGACCTATGTTCTTCTTACGGGAGCCCCTATGTGTATCATATCAAATTCAATACCGTTTTACACGCATTGATGTGCAAGCCTTTTCTTGCAGAAAATGGAACTAGTCTTGCATACATGTATTCATGTTCTTCTGCAGGGGAATCATATGGGTCGTGGCGGTGATACTTTTTTTATACGCAAGTCATTCTGTGGATTTTGCCGAATTTCACGACTGTCATAAAATTGTCTTGTCTTTCAGAAAATTCAGATGTCCACACCCTAAATCACATTTACTTGAGAATTGTAACCAGGTGTGTGCCGCAGATGTTTTTGTTGATTCTGTGTTTATAATTGTAGTCATGGGTTGTCGTGATAAGGTCATCCGGCATCATATTGTAGTGAAATCGTAATCCTGTTGATGTTGATAACACTTTTGGAAGCAGTTCAGTGTCCACGATTGTCTAAAACAACACAGCAAAGTAGGAACAATAAACATGCATTAAAATGTAAACAAATACATCGCTGAGTCCGACACCTCGTTCCAACAACTACACTGATCCTGAGGATATAAGGGGCAAGGATATATATTATGGTTTTAGGTACTGAGAGATAAACAAGGCATTCCATAATAGTAAAATGTTACACGCCTTCGGGGGAGTATGAATGATATCTAGTCAAACCTCTTTAGGACGAACATCAAGGGACCGATGGCATTTGCTCTGTGAGTTTGTGTTAACCCTATTTTATAAGGAGTGAAAACAATTATTTCTCCAATAGAGACACGAATAGATTTCTTCTACAGCGAAAGATTCTAAGCCGGACCAAACCATTGACTCGTCTTTTATGAAACAAATGAGTCACTGAACCTTTCTTTAGCAACATGACGGCAACTGAAACAACAACAGAGAAAATACGATACATGTAAAGCACATTCTTGCAGGTACTACAAACAGATTGCAGATCGTAATTCTTGCTCTACCGGCACGCAACTTTATTTGGGGCAGTGCAATCTCGGCGCTACTCACAAATCAAACAGCCCAGACTCGAGTAAACAAATCCAATCGTACGAGATTTTCACGAGACGAGACTGCACCCATTGGCTTGTTTCGTATGAAGCAAACAAGTCACTGAATGCATGAACCTTTCCATAATGGAGATTTTCCCTGATATGCGAATTTATTTTGCATACTAGTACTCGGCCAATGCGTCTTTGAACCTTTCCCTCCAGATTGGGAACTGCCAACGATGCTATGCCACTGCAAAATTCAGATTCTACCCTATGATCGGAGCACGGAATGCCGGAAGCAATCATGACCAGTGCCTTACTTGTAACGCACCAATGTACAATGAACATGAGTATTTCGACAACACATCTATTTAAAGCCTCAGCAGCAACATAAGCCTTACGGTCAAGAAGGTGAACTCGCGTTCTTCGCACACTGTTGGCAATGGCAAGGTGAAACGAATGGATCTCAATCCGAATAAAATCAGCACACGTTTCCGTAAATGAAAGGGTGAGCATAAGCAAATGAATCGAAGGAAGCTGGTCAACTCAGAGATCACCTGTCATTGAGTATTCCGTAAAAGGAGGCCTCGACAGCAGAAAAGCTAAATTTAGAAAAGAGATCCTGTCAGCTTTTCCATTATTAATTTTATTGTATTCCACCTAAAATCAGCACACTTTTCGCAAATGAAAGAGTCAACACAAGCAAATGAATCAAAGGGAACTGGTCAACTCACCTGTCATTGAGTAATATTCCGGGAAAAGAGGTCTCAGCAGAGCCGAAGCGAAATAAGCCAGGACACGAAATATCCGAAACAGCTCATGCAAGAAGCAGTTCCAAAGAAGGAAGTTCCTCGCGCATGCACATCCGAAAACGGACTGCACTGCATGCAACACAATGTCTGCCGTGCACGTGCACAGCACGCGGCTACCACGCGTTAGTAGATCTAATACCGAGCATGCACCTTACGTAGAAACTTACGTAGCCTAAGTGAAGTACCGAGCACCTTACGTAGAAACTTACGTAGCATAGCGGTGTCGTTTTTTCTGCCATGTGAACATAATAATAGAAAAGCTGACAGGATCGCTTTTCTAAATAATAACTGGCGTCACACTCAGCCCGGGTGTAGGCACCGGCGGATACGCTCGAAAAGGTGGCAGATTCTGCTCGAAATCGAAAAGCAGTGAACTTCAAATATTGGCAGAACCATACAAACCTTATGGCGGGCAATTCCTCGAATTCTGCTCCATTTATTTATCCACATACCAAACATGCATGAAACTTACCAGAAAAAGTACCGAATTCTGCCAACTTTTCTGCCGGCATAATCCGCCAGTGCCTGCGTCACAGTGGATTCAGAATTCATTCTACTTTAGAAAATAACAAAATTCTACGTTCAAGCACCTAAGACCCAAGAGTACATAACCCCACAGAGTGTGCAACGCCTGATCCAGCTCTGCATAGGGTCTTGGTCGAGCGGAATCGGATCTTTGCGTCATAATACCGTATACATTGGACATACATGTAATCTCTCCTCACGGGCAGTCTCCTCTTGAATTTAAAAGTCTAACAGCGTTCACATCAATACTCAACT